CATAAACCAGTAACATAGTTGTTTATTATCATTATTCAGCATAATCTTATGGGACCACTGCTGGTCATTGACCAAAATGTCATTATTTCGTACATGAATGTATATAATTTCTCTCAGATACTTGGCCAAATCCAAAGCTGCGCAATTGCAGGAAGAGACTGTGGCAAGCCCAGGAAGTAACATCTGCTAAGTGGTTGATAACCAAGCAGAAATATCAGAGTTCACACATTACCGGGGAAACATTGTAAGAACTTAATGAACACCTCAAGCTTTCAGTTAAGACCCTAGAAAGATCTCATCCTAGGGCAGGGACCACGTCCTAGGAGTAAGGGCAAAGATAAAATAGGTCTGTCCTAACAGGGCCTGAAACTAAGGCTTGACAGGATCAAAGTGATTCTCTAATAATTTAACATAACCCAGAATCTCTGCAATCTATTATCCACAATGTCCAGCACACAATAAAGGCTACTGAAGGCACAGAAAAAGGATACTGAAATTCAACAGAAAAAATGATCAATTGAAGCAGACCCAGAAATTATCATTATTGATATGCTAATGAAAGCAGAGAAAAGATGAACAATATATGACAAGATGTGGCTTTTCAACAAGGAATAAGAAATTTTTTAAAAAATCAATCAAGATGTGGGGAAGAAAAGGGAATCCAAGATGGAAGGTAGACTGTGATGAATGAATCTGACCATAATAAACAAATGAAATAAAATTAATCATATAACCACACTGAAGGGAATGGGTAAAAAGGAGATGGTTGAAGTAACTTTGGAAAATAGTGTGGATAATCCTACAATAGTAGGATGGAGCAAACATGTAAATATATTATAGGCAATGAGAATCAGATTTCTTATTATCAAAAAATGAAGCTATAGATGAGGAAAGGAGGAAGGCTAGAATGAATATTTTGGTGCTGAATTGGAGTCACAGATACAGAAATAAATATAGATGCGCGCGTATATAAGTTAGTATCCACAAATATATTTCCTAGCTCTGTCCACTGAGAGGGCTTAGAAAAAGTGACACTCCGGCAGCAAACAATACATGTAATATCCAGATTTTGGTTTCTAACTACCATCTGAGTATACCAGGCTGTACTAGTAAGGTATCTGATAAAACGATATGGTTCATTGAAGAACCGTAGTTCATTGAAGAACCATGGTTGATTTGAGGCTGAGACAGAGAAAATACCAGTTGATCCTGGAGCAAATTGTAATGTCAAAAAGTGCTCAGAGAGGATGACGACATATCAAAGGGCACAGGAGCCAATGTGAAAGAGCTCCCAATGTCCAAAGCCATTTGAGCAAGAAAATAAATACGAATTATACTGGATTATAAACCAAGGAATAAAATAAATATCATTGGGTCTCTGCAGATATAAATAAATAACTGAATAAATAAATAAATTAGGGTAGAAGAGATATTCTTCCTTAAAGAATAATTCCAATTGATAAACGTAGAAGCAATGAAGGAAACAAAAAATTTCTATTAGAACAATACAATAATAATTTTTACAAGCAACATTCACTAATGGATGCCAAAATTCATAGGTGAAAGTTTAAGGACAAACAGGACATTTGCATAGTCTCAAAATATGCCCCCAAAGAAATATGTATTAATTAAAAAGAAAAAGTGGTAACTTTATAGTGGAGAAATGTGAAAAATACCACGTGAACCAAATGATGAAAGTTAACATCAGTAAAAACAAGACAGATCATCATCATTTACTCTTTGATATGAGAAGGGCCCATCATCTCTATGTAATTCTTTTCAATAATACATAACCTGAACATAATCATGAGAAGATAGCAGAAAAATCCAAACTGAAGGACACTTTATAAGTAACTGAGCATTATTTTTCAAAAGTATCAAGGTCAGGAAAGAAAAGGAAAGACTGAGGAACTGTCTCAGATTAGAGAAAATTAAGAAGACTTGATCACTAAACGCAGTGTGGGATCCTGGATTAGATCCTGACACAGGAAAAGGACATTAGTGGTAAAACATGTGAAATATGAATAAAATCTGTAGTTAATTAATAATGTGTCAAGGTTAATTTATTAGTTTTATTAGTTGAACTACACAGTTATGAAACATGTTAAGTTAAAGGAGGCTGGGTGAAGGGTATACTGCATGTACTCTGGAAGACAGCAATATTGGCCCCAAGAAGATGAAAAGTGATTCTTGAGGGGGGAAAAAAATCTTACTCTTTTTATGTGCAAAGCGCACCTATATGTGCAATACATAAGCAGATATACAGTATATTTGTAGTATTAAAATTTCATGGAGGGGGAGAAACAATTAGGGAAAAATGGCTACTCAAGGGGATGATCTATATAATTTAGGTGATACATATACTGTCATGAGCCGCATAACGACATTTCAGTCAATGACAGACTGCTTATGTGATCCCAAAAGATTATAATACCATATTTTTACTGTACCTTTTCTATGTTTCAATATGTTTAGGTACACAAACACTTACCATTGTGTTACAATTGCCTACAGTTTTCGTACAATAACATGCTGTAGAAGTCTGTAGCCTAGGCACAATAGGCTATTGCATACAGCCTAGATGTGCAGTAGGCTATACCAGCTAGGTTTGTGTAATAAGTACACTCTGTGATGTTCACACAATGATGAAATTGCCTAATGGTGTATTTCTCAGAATGTATCCGTACAGCTAAGCAACAGGACTATAATTTGAATCTGTGTTTTGCTTAAATTAGTGCCATCCATGTTTTCATTACAATAACTTATCTAAGCCATGGAGTTTCAGTGATTGAAGTAGGAACTCCCAAATCCCTTGTTTGGAGGATACAGAAAACCAGTCAAGTCAGGAAAAATGAAGCTAAAAAAGGTATTTAGCTCCTGGCTCTCTGTGCTTCAGCCATATTTAATTGTATCAATGCATTATGGTTTCTCCTGCCTTGGACATTTGCTCTGTTAATAACGTTCCTTTTTCCAGAAATATCCTCCCCAGCTTGCTTTACTTGTGTAATGCCTGCTTAAGAATACAAGATTGCAACTCAAATATGCCTCCCTCAGAAAAAACTTTCCTGGCCACTTAATCTAGATTAACTATCAAGCATCCTTATTAGACAATCTTATAGCACCCTATGCTTTTTCTCCTTTGCTTTTATGGAGTACAGTGTGGTGTTTTAATACATGTATTCAATGTGAAATGATCTTATATTCTGTATTCTTGATGCTCTGTCATTTGGGGCCTTGCTGATCCTAGACAGACTTCCCCTCTCAGGGCTAGTTAATTCCTAGAGATAGCAAATAACTCCCCTGTGAGCTCACCTTTCCTATGCAAACCAACCAATCAGGAGCTCAAACTCAGCAATTACCTTCTTTATTGAGCTCCTACAGGTTGAACCACTGTTCCTCTGTCCTACTCACCCCAGGGCCAGATAGCAGACAACTTGGACAGCCTGTACACCTCAGAGCCCACTGAAATTGTTCCAACTAACCGATCCTAAACCTGCCTGGCCTACTTACCCCACATAACTTATTCTTCCCAGCAAAACCACAGGACAGGCCCTCACCCACGCCTTCCCCTCCCTCCTGCTCACTCCTAACCACAGAACCTGGTGCTTCCACATGTGACCATGGGGCCCTTCCCCATGTTCCCCCTCCTGTTGGGAACTGTGAGTGAAAAACTATTTTTTAATGACAATCATCTCCTGATCTGTTGGCCTCACCAAACCTGAATAAAAACAAAATCCCACGTACATTTTAAAACAGGCTAGCTCCTTAACTACCCAGAGCACAGCTGACACTAGGTTTTCAACCTAATGCTTTCAGGGTAACAGAAGCAACAGAAGTCACTCCTGGGGTCCACATAATGGGACCTATTCCCAGGGTCCCAGCCTAGCCCAGCAGACTGCCAGGTTATGGGAAGCAGCTTAACCCCATCCACGAGACTCTCCTGGCCTTCCAAGTCTTCCATGTCCTGGCTCCCAATTCTTTTGTGCGAGTGTGAGAAGTGAGTCCTCATTTTCCACCCTAGGATAGTCCTCATATTCCTTTAGGCAGAAAACATTTTATCAAACTACAGGGTGACTTCCATGCCCCAGATAAGGCAGTCATAATAACTAACTCTACATTTTCCCGGTAGCTGAGTTCCTCAACATTAAATAGCACCATAAGCAGAACCCCAAAGTTTTAACCTAGTTCCATATTCGGGGGTGCAGGGAGGGAACAACTGCATTTATCTACCTCATCCAGGGAACAGTCCTGTTACAGCCACAGTATATTCACTGTACTGCAAAGATCATGTAATAGGTTAACCAACTGCCCCACATTCAGATTTTTGATGACTTCCATGTTTTCTCTGAGAAACAATGGATGCTTTATATTTGCAAATCTAAGCAATACATTTTACTAATTTTTCCAAAATAAAGGAAGTCTGCTGGGAAGTCAGTCTCCATCTCCAGAAAGATAAAACTGCCAGCCACTTCCAAACAGACGTTGTCCCACTCACAAAGAGAAGGAAAGTTCTGTCTCTACCAGACACCCTGCTGTAAAACTGTCTCAAGGGTAGAGAGTTGAAGTTAACCTTGGTGATTCTGAGGAAACCACCACAAAGGTTCTCTATGGTGGTTATAGAAAACCGCATTGGACTTGAAGACTCCAGAACCCCTCATCCATCTGAATGCAAACATTCTGTGGACAAGTGAGCTCCTTTCTGCTGTTGCAGAGGGGCTGGATCTATTAACTGAGTCATACTTGTGTATACCTGTTGCTTTTTTAGAGAGCTATGGTGTATATATTTCAATTCAGGTTAGATCCCTTCTATGTGTAATTACTAGCTGTCTGGGTGTTTTCCACTGGGCAGTTGTAGCAGGTGGAGCTGGGAAAGGGATTAGAATGGTGATGTCCCAGGGTTGGCAGAGACTGAAACACCCAGAGGAGCTGGAGTTAGTCCATTGTGTCACAGTGTGATTGAATTGTTATAGTAGATGGGACAGCCCAGTGGCCTTCAAAGCAAAGTACACATACCCTACAGAGGGGTCCCAAGATGGTTCACTGGGATAAGGAAGATGGGGTATGAGACTTTCTTTTTACATTTATTGTTATCTAAAAAGATAAAAACAAAATCGTTACATTTAACATATAATGCATGTATTGATCCTGCCGCCCTCACTTTCCCTGATGGATGGCTGGGTGCCCTCACTTATCCCTTTGCTCTCAGGATGCCATAAATTATTGCAGACTGTGCCTGATGAGTGGATTTGTTGATTATATCATCTGGTTTTAGCTGAACTTATTTTTACATAAGGAACTAATGTATGACTTAAGACTTTAAGATCATACTAAGGGCTGGGTGCAGTGGCTCACACCTATAATCCTAGTACTATGGGAGGGCAAGGTGGTAGGATAGCTTAAGGCCAGGAGTTCAAGACCAGCCTGGGCAACAGAGCAAGACCCCATCTCTACAAAAAAATAAACTAGCCAGGCATGATGGCACATGCCTGTAGTCCCAGCTACTCAGGAGGCTGAGGCAAGAGATTCCTTGAACCCAGGAGTTCAAGACTGCAATGAACTATGATCACACCACTGCACTCCAGCCTGGGCAACAGAGCAAGACACTGTCTCAAAAAAAAAAAAAAAAAGAAGAAGAAGAAGAAGATCATACTAATAATAATATAAGCCCAAATTAATTTTTTAAGTGGCAGAGCTCACTCTACCCCTACTACTAGAAAGATCTTTTTGCTAGATTAACAAAGAGGAAGAAAAACAAGGACAATCTAAGTATATTTGATATATTGAACTCAATTGCTTTTACTAAAAATACTCTACTACTGATAGTTTTAGTGAGAACAAATAATTTTTGTACTGTTAATAAGTAAAAATTATTTTTAAGTATTGTTTAGTTCATCTTCAGTCCATCTTTTTAATTTCAATTTTTGTAATTTCAAGGTGTATAATATATTAGTAAAAAAGGATGATGCATGTTATCCACAAAAAATCAGTAGGCCTGTGTCATAGTTTGCGTTCTGGGCTCTGCCATTCACTAGCTATGTGTAATTGTGGGCTAGTCTCCATATCTCAATTTGCTCATCTGTAAAATGTAGATAATAGTTCCTCCTCACAGATTTTGTTGAGAAGATTTGTTTTAAGAATGCCTGGTACAGCTTAAGAATCTCAGAATTTTTCTGGGAGGCCAAGACAGGAGGATCCCTTGAGATCAGGAGTTTGAGACCAGCCTGAGCAACAGTGAGACCCCATTTCTACTAAAAGTAGAAAAAATTAGCCTGGCATGGTGGCACATGCCTATAGTCCCAGCTACTTGGGAGGCTGAGGCAGGAGGATCGCTTGAGCCCAGGAGTTTGAGATTGCTGTGAGCTAAGCTGACACCATGGCACTCTAGCCCAGGCAACAGAGCAAGATTCTGTCTCAAAAAAAAAAAAAAGAATCTCAGAGTTTTGATTCCCATCCCCGTAAGAGGAGAGTTCTATGCTGGGATGTGGGTGCTGGAACACACAGGAAACATTTTCGATCGGGAGCCTTTTCATAACATTGCCAAAGGTACGCCTCCTCCAGCAGTGCAGACATCCCTGCCAACTACAAAAGGACGCCAGCGAGCCTGGAGCAGCTACCCAGGGCAACTCTTTATTGAACTGTATCTGCTTTCAGCAGATGATTGCATTTAGAAAGAAATTATTACATTTATGGAACGAACAGTCATAAAGCAGTAGACATGAATCCAACACACACAAAGAATCTAAATTAAATATCTCACTCTAAGCCTATCAAGTTCATGTACATATCACTATAATTGCCATTTGTAATCCAAGGGCACCACTTATATACACTTTTGGTGATTGCTTGGGAATTATCTTTAAAGCCTTAGATTTTTAAATTTTTCATAGTTTTGTATGCAAAGATTCTAGATACTCATTTAAAATCCCTCGTAGCTATTAGATAATCAGATTCAAGTATGAATTTGGAGATGCATGGTCTAAAATGCAAACATACTCCTTCAAAAACTGCATAATCTGTACCTAATCATGAGAAAACTTCAGACCAAACCCATTCTGAGGGACATTTAACAAAATAACTGATCTATACCTTTCAAAACTGTCAAGGTCATAGAAGACAATGGCTGTCTCAGGTATGGTTCTGGATTAAAGGTGATTAAAGAGACAGGAAAAATAAAGATAATACATGATTCTAGATTGGTTCCTGGGACAACTGATGAAATCTAGATAGCTCTAGATTAAATAATAGTATTTTCTCAAAGTTAATTTTCTAATTTTAATGATATGTGCAATTTAACCTCAAATGACTCAGAAAAATATAATATGTATGTACATGTAGATACAGAAAGAGAAAGTGAATGATAAATGCAGTAAAACATTAACATTTGCATAACCTGGGTGCATCTGTAATTTTTTGTACTGTTTGCAACTATTCTGTAAATTTGAAACAAATTTTGAAATCCACTCATCAAGTCCCTGCTATTCTAAATAATCACAAAACAGCATATCTGCACACCCAGGAGCAGTTTGTTTCCTGCCTCCCTATTTTTTAAACAAATCATTAAAAATCCTTTTCCCCATTTCCCCCCTAATACTCTAGCCAAGTTTATTGCTTTATTTCCCTGACACATAATTTCCTTTTTCTGTCAACCACAGAACTGAAAATTCCCTGTGATTTTTAAGAGCTTCTGTATCAGACAAAGCATTAATGTCTTTCCATGCAAGGTTGCTAGTCTACAGGGAGCAGAATTCTAAGAAGATCTGGGCTTGGTTGTTCATTAGTATCCAACACACATAAATCTAACTGTGTGAGGGAAGCAGTTGTTCCTAGATAAGAAGAAAAACTCATTTTTAAATCATAACAAAGAGTAAAAGAAGAAATGGGGAAGGAGGGGAAGAAGCCTATAGCACCATTGATCCAGCTCCAGGAACACAGAGCTTTGAACCTGAGGGAATCTGAGTCAGGGTTCAGAGCCTCTCCTCAGGCTCAGACAACTCCCAAACTTAGCAGGAGGGCCATCTGCCCACATCAGAATAAACTTGGTGTCCTCTGTTCTTGTTTTCGCCATCATTTTATGTCCTGTCAATCTTGACTGCTGTTACAGCAAGTTTTCCCTGGGATATAATGAAATGTCCCTTACATACATGTACACTTGCCACTTGAAGTACAAAATGGAGCAAAACAAAAACCAGCGGAATCGTCTTACCTTCAAATAGCAGTTGTTGTGTGAAACAGGTTCCACGTCTGTACCAGGTCCCTGAGGGGTTGAGGCTAGCTCAATGCATGCAGAATATATAGGGAGAGATTATAGACCTGGGTTTTCATTACACAAGGTGTTTTTGATGGGTGCTCAGCCAAGATCCACTTAAAAACAAAAGCTGCACAAAGACTACAAAAAGGCCACACAAAGTTTAAACAAAAGGCTAAAGAAAGACCAAACAAAAGCCAAAGAAAGTTTAAACAAAGAGTGAAACAAAGACAAAACAAAGGCCAAACAAAGACAGAAACAAAGACCAAAACAAAGAGCAAAAGAAAATCTAAACAAAAGCTAAGCTAAGCTACAACCATATCTCACACACACACACACCGTATCTACTCTATAGCCCCTCCCCCACACCCACATTTTCCAGCCCCCACCTCCCACATCCCACAAAATCGACACCCATGTGCAACCTCGCTCTCACCAAGGCTCATTCCACACCAACTCCACATCAAACCACATGCTAGGTCCAACCATACCACATGCCAGCTCGCCCCACCAAGCCGCACCCCTTCCACAGACACACCAGGCCATCGTGGTAACCATCCCACCCCGGCACACCACACCTCACCCCACACATCACAAGCCATACCCACAAGCCATGAACAGAGTTGGAGTTGCAGTGACAAATTCCTATCTTGAGGCTCCTGTTTGCATACTCCATGCAGATTAAATACCCATCTACGCTTCCCTCCCTAAAACACCCACGTACACACACACCCCAAGATTAACATTCACACATGCATGCCCTTGCACACTTAATTTAACATGACTCTAATCCAGTCTAGTTAAAACTAAGATTGAAGTTTCCATGACAATTACTCTGTTCACTCAAATTTATGAAAACTTTCATAAATCATTTCTCATGGTGGATGGTTGAACCTCATTTAATTAACATGGTAATACTGGCTTCAGTCTTAGACATTGGCATTTTCTTATTATTCTCCTAAATTCTGGGAGTCACATTATTGGGTCCCATAACTCTGTGTTCTGTTAAACGTCATGAGTATTATAATTCTTTTCTTCCGCTAAATTTTATTTTATTTTATATATGTAGAACTACCCCCTAATGAGTTGAAAGATAAAAGGATACTTTTGAAGCCAATTCAACCAACAGCAGCCTTGCCTCTTGAATTCCCAGAGCATCTTGCATGATGATGAAATATAAATGTCAACATTATCACCAGGTTTCCTTTCAGGCCCTTTTCTCAGTATAGGCAATAAGAATCAGCTCATGCCTATAGTCCCAGCTACTCGGGAGACTGAGGCAGGAGGATTGCTTGAGCGACCAGGAGTTTGAAGTTGCAGTGAGCTATGATGACACCACTGCACTCTAGCCCAGGTAACAGAGCAAGACTTTATCTCAAAAACAAACAAACAAAAAGAATCAGCCAGGGAAGCTTGAAGAGTCTCCAATGAGACTGCAAACATTCAATGTAAATCTCATCATACATTAACTTCATAGTTAATTGAACATCCTTTCTCTGAGCAATGAGTTATAAACCTTTGCTGGTTTATTCACTCCTCCTGTGAGGCCAGTGTTTTGCTTGTGTTGCAGCGACTGTGAATGAGGGCTGAGGACGGTAAGGTTGTTCAGAGCATAGGTTCTAGAGTCCCTGACACTGGGATAATCGCAGGACCCGCCCCATAGGATTGGAGTGAGGACTGTCAGTTAAGATGTGCACACTGGTTAAAACAGCACCTGGCACACAGAGTCCTGCATCAATGTCAGCTCTTCCGGTCCTGGCCCTAAAGAAGCTTATAAACAGGGGTGAGTGGCATTTGCAAGGATTTGCTTCCTAGTCACAAAACAACTGGAGACTAATTCAGGCTATTTAAACAACACAAGATTGAGTGAGTAGATTATAAAGATCCATCTTTACTAAAGGACCCCTCTGCTTCTCGAACCTTCCCAACAAAGATCCTTAATGACAAATTTTTGTGCAGTCCCATCTTTGATCTTCTACTCCATAATACATGCAGTGATAGACAATTCACGCAACCAAAGTGTGGAGGTTTCGCCATCTCTTTTTATTCCTATTTAAACATGGGTGTTTGTCTTTCCTGTGGTGGCACTTTCACTCCCAGAAGACTGCCGGGGAGGTGGCATCTGAGTCAGTGTCATTCCCCTTAAAGTGTTTCACACAGGGCAAGACCTCCCAGGACTCCAAGTGGGCTCACAGTCAAAGTTAAGTGACTGGCTAACATCATAGAGGATTTCCCCACAGAAACTTTGGCTACAACTGACAATCCCCACATGTTACATTTTGAATTGTGTCCCACCCTCTCCCTCCGTCCCCCAAATTCCTATGTTGAAGTCCTAACCCCCACTACCTCAGAATTTCATCTTATTTGAAGACAGAGTCTTTACAAAGGTAACCAAGTTAAAATGAAGTCATTGGGTGGGCCCTAATGCACATGACTGGTGTCCTTGTACAAAGGGGAAAATTGGACACAAAGACACACTTAGAGGAAAGACAATGTGGACACGCAGGGAGAAGATGGCCATCCACAAACCAAGGAGGGAGGCCTGGACCAGATTCTTCTCACAGCCCTCGCAGGAAACCAATCCTGCCCACACCTTCACCTCAGCCTTCAAGCTTCAAGAACTGTGAGACAATACATGTCTGTTGTCTAAGCCCCCAGTTTGTGGCACTTCGTCTTGGCAGTCCTAGCAAACTAATACACCACAGTGCCAGTAAGTACCATGTTAATTAGCTTTTACATTTATCAAAATAACACTTGTGCAAAGTTATAACAGAATTAAAAGGCTTATGTTGAAAAACAATAGCCTCCTGTGCCATTTCACGCAGCTCCACCGTCCCACCCCCCAGAGGCCACTGCACTTTTCTTCTTAGCTATTTTCTCTCTATATTTTCATATTGCTAAATAATTCACAGGAACAGCCACTTACACACTCATTTATGGCGGGCTCCTGGCTTCCTTTGGAGGGTATAGTTTTCTTACATTCTACTTTTTCCTCTCCCTTTTCTTCACCTACTAATGTAGTTAGAATAGTCAGTACTAATATTATTATACATACGTAAATGTTATTTCCTACAGAACCTTGTAATGAACTATGATTGCTTCCTTTGTCTGTACAGTTTTCTTTTTCCTGGTTTTAATAATTGTTTTGTTTTTGCTTTTATTTAATCTGCTTAGTTTTTTATTTGCTTATCACTCATTTTTTGTAAGTACTCCAACAGTTCTGTCAAATATCTATTAATGATTTTTAAGCACTCTAATACATTGAATAATCTTTATGTCCATCGCCTTCTGTGATCCTCTGCGCTCTTGCTCTGGTTTTATACTGATTGCTCTCTGGGTCTTCCCTCCTGTGCTCTCCTCTGATGGATCACCTTGTCCTGCATCTCAAGCCATCCTCATCTTTGGTTCATGCCTCATTTTCCTGAAACACACCCTCCAATACCTTTCTTAGAAAGGGTATATAGAGAGGGAATTTTTTCAATGCTTGCATACATGAAAACTCCTTTATTCTACCCTCACACTTGATTGCCTGTTTGTGTATGGAATTCTAGGTTGAGAATGATTTTCCCTCAGAAAAACAATGTGGATGCATTGTTTCTCTATATTTTTTCCTCCAGAATTCTCTATATTTTTTGTCTAGAACTTTTTGAGAAGTTCTAGACTTTTCAGATTTCCATTTCTTTGCCTATGATTTTTTTTTTTCTGAACCTCTGGAAATGTTCAAGATTTTATTTTAACCCTGTTTCAAAACTTCACCACCTTACAACTCAATGTGAGTCTTTTTTCATCCCCACTTGGTGGACCTCTTTTCATCTGGAAATTCGTAACATTCCATTCCGTAAATGTGGTGTTGTTGTTATTATTTTTGTTAATTTGCTCCTTTCCATTTTCTTTCTTCTTTCTGAAATTTCTATAATTTGGCTATTGAACTATCCAAATTGATCTTCTAAATTGTTCCTCATTCTCCCCTTTCCTAGTTTCCAATTCTTTGACTTCTTGCTTTATCTTTGGTGAAGTTTTCTTATTTTATTCATTATACCCCTTATTGAATTTTACATTTCATTTTGACAATTATATTTTGAAATTTCAAGACCTCATTCTCGTTTGCTGACTTTTCCATTTTCAAAGCACCTATTCTAAACTCTTGGGGAATGTTTGTTTCTTTGTTAGTTTTGCACCTTGCATTGAACTGGTTTGCTAACTCCAGATTTCTTCACCCTGGTTATTTGTTTTCGTCTCTCCCCTTCTCATTAGAAGTTTTCCCCTTTTTCCAGTGATCTTTCACTGTCCACTGCTATTTATTTATTTATTTATTATTTTATTTTTTTTAAGACGGAGTCTCGCTCTGTCAGTCGGGCTAGAATGCTGTGGTGTCAGCCTCACTCACAGCAACCTCAAACTCCTGGGCTCAAGCAATCCTCCTGCCTCAGCCTCCCTGGTAGCTGGGATTACAGGCGTGAGCCACCATACCTGGCTAATTTTTCTACTTTTAGTAGAGACAGGGTCTAGCTCTTGCTCAGGCTGGTCTTGAACTCCTGACCTCAAAGCGATCCTTCCGCCTCAGCTTCCCAGAGTGCTAGGATTACAGGAGTGAGTCACCGCGCCCCGCCTCCACTGCTGTTTCATAGTCAGGCATTCAAGATAATGACTGGATGCTCCATGGGCTCATTGCTGGGGACGCAGGGGCAGCCACGTTGGCCTTTCGTGGGACGACCTCAAAATACAGGGAGATGGAGGATTTTCCCATTGGGTCATTCAGTTACTTCAGTGAAGAGCAATTTATTTTTCAGGCTGTTGGGGTAGGGAAGGTAGAAGAGCTCAACTATTTTGCTGTTAATATTCTGTGATCGGAATGGACAAGGGACCTGAGGACCCAAGCGAGTGTGTGTACTTTGGTCTTTGTGTAAGCCTTGCGGGTCACCCCTGCTCCTCCCTGTTCCTGAGTCTGGAAATTTCTCCGCAATAAACTTCCAGTGGCACAGCGAGTTAGTGCAGTGAACCTGAGAATCCATGCAGGGGGTGCAGCTTCTCCGTGTCTCAGCCTTGCTTTCCACTGGACCCGGAACCTCCACCTGCGGGATGCTCAGCGCTGC